GCTAAAACAGAGCCTTGAGGCATTAGTACAGGTGCAACCGTGGCAATTTTCAAACTAGAAGGTATAGCTCCTTCAAGCAAAGATTTGTTAAATAGCGACACCAGCCCAGGGCCGACAGTGTCGAATATTTGTCTCAAATGGTAAGGATGTATAGTGTCATGTGAACTAAAGGAGGGTTTAAGTTTAAGCATTACTTCCTTTACAGAATGTAGAGAGACAGGATTGAAAGAAGTCCACAGGACAGGTGAAGTCATCTCTGTTGGTATTTCCTGATCGGAGACCAGAAGCTGGGCCCTCAGACTTGAAGCTTTATTGCCAAAATAACCAGAGAAATCCTCACAAAGTGCCAAAGACGGGTAGGGAAGAGAATTTACAGTGGGGTTTAGAACGGAGTTGATAACAGAAAAAAAGAGCTTTTGGGGTGTGGTGATGTTTCTCAAGTAGTTTAGAAAAATATGAAGCCTTGGCTTTCTTAACAGCATACTGATATGACGATAGGCAATTCTTTAAGATCTCATAAGAAATCTGTAATTTGTCCTTTTTCCACTTCCTTTCTGCTTTTCTGCATGCCTGTCTCAAGGAGCGAATACTATGATCAACCCATGGCTCCAATTTAGATGTAGATTTTGGCTTAAAAAGCTTAAAAGGAGCTGTAAGGTTTAAAATATCTGTCCATGCAGTATTTAAAATGATAAAATAATTTTCAGCATCAAGATCAGATAATAGAGACTCTAATGATAAAAGAGGGTTGACCTCATTATAGAGCTTGACAAAATCCTCACAAAAATGAGGCAAATATTCACGGGCTTGTGTACCATCAGAGGCAGGTGTAAGAGAAGGCAGTGGGAGGGACAATTTAAATAAAACAGGAAAATGATCAGAGATGACAGAATTAAAGACTTCAACGTCAGTTACAGATAGACCATGTGACAAAATTAGATCCAAACCCAGTCAACAATTTGATCTCACAATGATGTCACCGTGAGCTCACATGATTCTCATGGTGTGGTCACAATGTGTGTGTCACAGTGAGCTAAAAGTGTAACCACACAGCGCACTCACTGTGTGCTCATACTATGCTCCCAATGTGAGGTCACTGCACACTCACTGTGCGCTCATACTGTGGTCAGGATCGATTGAACTCACAATGAGCTCATATACTACTCACACCGTGAGGATCACAGTATGAGGATCGTGTGATGTCACTGTGATCATCGCATGATCTCACGTGTTGACTGGGAAATGTGTCCATGAGTATGTGTAGGATGATTAACCCACTGCAGCAGGTTAAAAGAGTCAATGATGTTTAAAAACTCAGAAGTTATCTGCTTAGAGGGGCAACATACATGGACATTAAAGTCACCTAAAATAAGGATGCGATCGTGTTTAGTGATAAAATCCCCTACAAACTCTGAAAACTCTACTATGAAGTCATTGGTTAGATGTGGTAGCCGATAGATCAGAGCTAAGACCACAGGTTCAGACCAGTTCAGAAGTAAAATCTGAGCTTCAAAACTCGTGTAGGTGGCGGAAGATAACAGTCGGCATCAAGGTCTGAAAGAATCTTTAGCAATGATAGCTAGCCTGCCGCCTCTGCCTGATGATCGCGGAGCATTGTAAAAGTGATAGTTGGCTGGAACAAGTTCAGAATATGGACTGAGTTCCCCTACCGTCACCCAGGTCTTGGTGATAAACAGAAAATCCAGGTCGTGAGCAGTGGAAAAATCATTCAGGATGTACATCTTGTTCACCAGAGAGCGAGCGTTTATCAGCGCAATTTTTGGGGAGCGTAGAATGGTGCGCGAAGCAGATGCTTTGCTCAGAGGAAAGAGGTTGGCAGTATTTGCGTCCTCACGGCGCAGCTGGATAATAATCCGAGAGTGGAGATATTCCGCTTGAGCTAAAGAGACAGGAGAAGAAGGAGCAGAGGCAGGGGTGTCCGTCGCGATTGACCTGAGCCAACGTGTCACCGGGGTTGGTCGCTCCAGCGCCGTAAAGCAGTCCGACACCATAGCCCGTGACCGAGGCAGAGAACTGAGTACAGTCAGAGAACCAGCTCTCATGAAGGTCTTTATTCTGACGATCACACCCCCACGTTTCCCGCATCTTCTCCGACGCTATCTTGGGGTAGCGTCCAGAGGTAGTAGCCGGAGGAAGGCCGGGACGTCCCGTAAGAGAGTCCCATGTGTGTGGTCAGCGAAAATGCTAAAATTTGCGTCCAAGACACCTACACAGGAACTACGAATGTCCAAGAGAGTCTGACGATCGTACGTGAGAGACTCAACATAGTTGTTGGACAGGAGGGCACATAAAAACAACCAAACAATAAACAGAGCCAAGAGCAGGAGACGACTCGCCATGTACACAGGCGCCATCTTTCAGTCACACTGTAAAGCTGCTTTGACACAACCAGTATGGTATAAAGCGCTATACAAATAAAGGTGATTTGACTTGACTTCCTGCCAGATCTAAAAGGACACCATGTTCTAGTCCGCTCAGACAGCATGACAGTGGTGTCCTACATAAATCGCCAGGGAGGGCTCACTTCAAGGCATCTCTTCTTCCTAGTAGAGTGCCTCTTGGAATGGGCACTTGTGTTCACTAAGAACAACACATGTTCTGGGCATTCTGAACCAAGGAGCAGACGTGCTGTTTCAGAGCAATGTCCCCTCAGAGGAGTGGATTCTCCACCCACAAATGGTTCAGAAAATTTGGGAGATCTTTGGGCAGGCAGAGGTCGATCTCTTTGCCTCAAAAGACAACTTTCACTGCCCAACTTACTTTTCAAAAGACAGGGATGCATTGGCCCACGATTGGCCCAACCTCCTCCTGTAAGTTTTTCCCCCGATTGCCCTGATCCCTGAGGTAATCAGGCAAATCAGGGAACACAAACACAAAGTTCTCCTAGTAGCTCCGCCCTGGAAGAACCAGCTATGGCTCTTGGAGCTGTCGCAGTTGCTCACAGCTGCCCCATGGCCCATTCCCCTGAGACGGGAACTCCTCTCTCAGGCGAACAAAACGATCTGGCACCCCCAGCCCGAGCTGTGGGCTCTGCACCTCTGGCCTCTTGATGGGAGCCTACAGACCTTCCCGAGAGTGTCTTGAACACTATTTCACAGACTAGAGCCCCGTCCACAAGACTTCTCTACACCCTTAAATGGTCGGTCTTCTCCGCCTGGTGCGCCACCCGCAGCAAAGACCCAACCTCCTGTGACATATCAATGATATTGTCCTTCCTCCAAGAGTTGTTGGAAAAGGGACATTCCCCTTCCACACTCAAGGTCTACGTAGCAGCTGTAGCAGCTTCTCATGCTCCTATAGTCAGCCAGTCGGTGGGCAGGAACAACTTGGCTGTTAGTAAAACGATTGTTAGTGAAACCATCAGTGCCATTTTACAATGGGGTCTACAGCGTATGCTAAACCTCTGTTTCGTTTAGTTAAATGTTCGATACTTGCGTTGCTTTGGCCGTTGAACGATCGTCCGGATGAAGTCTCGAATGAAAGTCTTTTCAGACTTCAGAGTTTTCTCCCAGATGGAAAGTGATGAGAGAAGAGTGATGAGAGAAGAGCGCAGAGCTAGAGAGACATCAGCTGAGATCCGAGGATCTTTGGTGAATGGAAAGACAAGGCTGCAGCCTGGCACAAACTTAGAGGTCCTTCGAAGATTCTAGCTCAGCATCCTCACCTTCTCAGAATCTAAAATAAGCTAGACTGAAGGCGGGTCACTGATGTGATTGCCTTTATTTTCTATCGAGGTCACACCTTTGGGGAATCAAAGAGCCAATGGTGTCTTGAACGTTTGGAGGGAAAGTTTACGACTCTTTGTCTCCAGCAATGGTATTTTGCATATCTAACTGGATTGGATGTTGATATACAAACTATTAAAGATTCTTAGAACACTAACGTTGCATAGGTATCAACATATAATATAAACTCTCATTTAGATCATCAGAATACAAATTCATAGAGACCTAACACGGTATAAGTGAGGTGATATTAACTAGTGATCTATCATAAGCATGCATAAAACAGTATACAATACACAAAACCACATACAAGAACATAATAATCATCACAATGACCTGGGGATATGCATGATAGGAAGGTCATAGAAAAACTGTCTATGAATTAATGAAAGAAGACATTTGCTATAGCAGTATGTGTCTGTTTTAGAGAGAATTATGTAGGGGGTAGGGGAAGGTTCTCTCTACATACTTTTAGGTCATAAAGTTTATCTGGTCTGGCTGAGGTGTCCTGGTTGCCATGGTAACCAGGGGCCTGGAGGTTGTTCACAGACATTTAGGCCTGGGGTTTGGGTGAGGGGGTTTGTTGGATTATTCATTAAATATAATTAATAAATATGTGTCTGATTTGTCGAATAAATGAACTTTTCCACGACATTCTAATTTATTGAGATGCACCTGTATATTATCAGAAATATACGGAGCCACTTATATTATAAGAAATTAGAGCTGCACAATTAATCGTTGAAAGATTGTGATCTCGATCCAAACCCCAAACTCGATCCAGGCAATCTTATTCCTAAATGACCATGATTCATCTATGTCCATTAAACCTTTGACAAGATCACAGCGAACATTTTAATCTGTGATGGTGCAGCCAGTAGCCACATTTAAACACATGGACACTTTTTGTTCATTCCGAACTCATTGTCTACATGAATACTAAATAAAGTGATCTGATGATTGATTATGTCACAAGCTTCTAATCAGATTTAATCTTTTGACATGCGTTCACTGCGTGAATATACAGTTTCCTGCTGTTGTCGCATACAAACCATCCTCCTTTTCTTTGTTTTAAAAAGCAAACTTAATTTAATTTATGCATTTGGCAGACACTTTTATCCAAAGCGACTTACAATGCATTCAGGCTGTACATTTTTTACTAGTATGTGCCCTCGCCCCCGTGCGGCGGCCGGGAATTCTTTAGCTAAACGGCCCTAAACCGTTTCCCATTCATTCTCAATGGTAGTGCTAAACCACTACGGATGCGATATACTTTCGGCCGCTAGCGCTCCCGTGGCGCTCTTCTGTGTTTTGGCACCCCGGGAAATTTGAATTCGCAGAGGAAGAAGAAGAAGAAAACACACAGCGGCGATCGCCTCGGTTGTTTAATTCAACGCAGTCTCAAGCGTGTATTCAAGGTAAGATACTTTATGTGAGATCAGTTTACGTTTTGTTACCGTTAATGCTGAAATCACGAGTAAACTTTGTTCGTTTCCAAACTTTACCCTGTCGGGTTTTGTTTACTATAGTTCAGTAATCACTGTTCACAGGCTTGCAGTGCTTTTGACCGTCTTTTGGCGAAAAAAACGTGCCAAAAGTGTAAGCGCGGAAACATGGAAGTCAGAAGCATGCAGATCATATTTATTTTGCGTTAGCATGAAGCTGCAGTTTCACAATACATGAATTACACTTACGAATAACAGTAAAATGCTGCAAATAATTTTTTCTTGCGCTTGAAATGCAATTTACACCTTTACAAAGCTTCTCTTGTGCATGCAAATTTAATTTACGCTTACAGTCTTATGTACACTTCCACAAATATTACCCTGCGTATGCAAATCTTTTTGACGTCATTCTACCTTCATAAGTAGGTGGATTTCTTTGCACGCCAAATTATGAATGAACATGGCTGTAATTTACGTTTCTGTGTATTGTTTGTCATCATTAACACGTTATCTGTTGATTACAAGCTAAATTATGAATAGACGTAACCATTATTTTCATTTTTGTAATGAGATTACATGTATTCCACAGTTCAAAAATGTTTTCTGAGCATGGTTTTACTATAGTAACCATAGTTTAGCCATGGTATTTTAGTAGAATCACAACAATAAATTTACTATTGTTATTGTATTGGGCATTATATTTACAGTACAACCATCAAATTGTAAATGAATATCAATCTGCCAAGAACAGTAGGATTACTACAGTTTTACTATAGTAACATCATTGTATATATATATATATATATATGTGTGTGTGTGTGTGTGTGTGTGTATATGTATGTATGTATGTATGTATATATGTATATGTATGTATGTATATGTGTGCGTGTGTTTATGTGTCTGTAATAGAATTATTGCTTTTTGTAATATTGCTATGTTGTTGTTCTTGTAGAGAGCACTGTTTCTACACTGCTTGTGCCCTTGCTATCATCTTTTCCTGGAACCCAAGCAGATCCTCAGTCAGATACAGGTAAATATATCTGACACATTAACAACACCATACAAAAAAGGGTTTCTGCAGGTTTTAAAGTCTTAAAATGTCTTAATTTACCCTTACACAAATGAATGCCTTAAGAAAGTTTTAAATCAGAGCAGAAAGTCTTACATTTATAAAATGATGGCATTAAATGTTGGATGCAGCAAAAAGTGAAGGAATCTCTTCCTCTGTTTTGTCTTGTTTTCCAATACAAATATCAAATATATTTCAGTCAAGATATGTTTATTTCAGATGCAAATGTAAAATGAAGTATTGAAAAATGTAATAAAATTAAATGAGTTTACACTTAAAACAATAACAAATATTTGTCAATGAGTTATCAAAACTTACCTTTAAATTCAGGTGACTCTTTTGCCAAATGGCAGATATTAGTTATTGTTTTAATCACAAAATCACTTTAAACAAGACTTTGTATTTCATGTCATTTTGTATCTCCAGTAAATTTATCGTTATTTAAAAATCTTTATGCATTTTCACTGGAAAACAAGACAAAAATACAGAGGAAGAACATCACATTTTTGCAGCATGATCTGAACGTACAGAAAAATATACTGTATTTCCATATTCTAGTGTCTGGGAGCAGAGTGTTTCAGTGCATTTTTGTAAAATGAATAAAAAAATTATGAATATCTGTTGGAAGTTGTATTTTCAAACTCTGAAGTTAATAAAACTCATTGTGTTTCTCTCCAGACATTTACAGAACATATTTGTGTTTTTCCTCATTTGTTCCTCAAATTTGATTTACTTGGTCTTAAAAAGGTCTTAACTTTACCTTCATAAAACCTGCAGAAACCCTGTTTCCTTACACATTAAACTAAATATTCAACTTGTTGCAGACACCACTGGTACACTGCCTGTGCCCTCGCTGTCCTCATATCATGGTTCTCATGTGGAGCCTCAATCAGAATTTTCAAAATGCAGAAATTATTTAAATTTTTTCCCTCTGTATAGGAACTACATATATGCCACCGCCTTGCCTGCGACCCGTACTGGACCAGTGAAGACTGGTGGCAGGGTGTTTGTACTGGACCACAAACGTGGAGCCCATTGACAACTTGCTTAATAAACACCATGGGAAGAAGGACATCCTCAGGACTATGCAGCAATGGTCCACAATTCCTCTACTGATCCAAACAGCATGCTCCATTCGACCACAAAACTGCACATTTCACAGTATGACAAGCACCTGGCCAAACTGCTGAACACCAGTTCATCATTAAACAACTCCAGAGAAACGTCTTTAAAGCAGGTAGTAAAACAACCAGAGTGCCAGTGGTAACAATGAAGCCTGTGAATGTAAACCCACCAGCACCTGCTCTGACCACACTCCTAACTCATGAGACAATTGAGAGAATAGTATTATGGAGCGGCAGCAGCAACAGCAAACTGAGCAGGAGAAGAAGAAACAAACAAAGACTTGTCTTGCTTGTGGACAGCCAAAGATGGTTCCTCTATCCACTTTTTTTTTAATCAGGCCCTGTCAGGTACTTCTACTGTTCCACAGAGGTTTTTAATGCTTACGGTGATTAAGGACTAACAAATCCCAGAATGCCATTCCAAGACTTTATGGAAATTGAGTTCTTTAAGAGTGAATTTGAGGACACAAAGAAACTGGTGGAGGAGAGAGGACAGCAAAAACACAAAAGGCATAAAACTGAACACGTTGGTTGCTTGTGCAGATTGTGTAAAATGGAATTGAAGCAGGGTTCTAACAGTCCTCACATACACAGGCTTTCCTGGCGTAGCCGGGAAATATGTTCATTGCCCTGCTAAAGTCTTTTTCATTTACTAACCTCAGGGCATTCAGAAAGAGATGACCTGGAAAGATGGAAAGACAGAGATGGGTGGCAGAAAAAAAGAAATAAATTATATTCTTTTGCCCCTTAGTAATATTTAACTCATGTATATACTGTATATTTTGATTTGTTTCTTTTTCAGTGTGAGATTGTAATGTCTATATTTTGTCACAATTATATTTTTCTTTCTAATTTTGGATCGATATTTACTTATCTTAAAAAGTGCTTAAAGAATTTAATAAATATACAACTGAAAATTACAAATTGCTTCATGAATGCTGTGTTCCACTTCGTAGGACTAATATTTGACCGTTTCTATGGTTTTGGAAACACTTAATTGATCATTTATCTTAAGTGTGACAAATTATTCCACCACTCAATCAATTTTCATTCAGTACTTGAATATTTCTCAGTTTGAGTTAAATTTAAATGATCCTTATTTACATTTCAAAACCATTTAATAGAAACCATTCCTGTTTAATATAACCATTATTATATAATTATTCATGTTTTCATATAACCATGTAATGTATACTACTATTATTTTACTGTATTTATTTTAATAGTAATCATTTATTCATAATAATTTGCTTTGTTTTTCAAAAAGGCAAGACACAAATGACTTACTTTGCAGCTGTAATGTATTGTTTAATTTTAGAATTTTGTTTGAAAAGCACAAAGCTGTGTAAAATAATGGTTTAGACCTGTGTGAGTGGGATTCGAACCCCGGTCCAAATAAATGCATGAAAAAATATGATTGGCTGTGACATAATTTCCACTCTTTGGCCAGCTGTTGAAATACTTCAATTTCATTGGCTGTCAGTGAGTTACAACTATCCATGTTCATTGGGAATTGAACCCACAACCTTTCACACTGCTAACGCAATGCTCTACCACTGAGCCGATTAGGAGAGCTTTGTGCTGTGTTGCTCATATTAACCAAGCAATAAAAACACCCCTTCCCATGCTTAAAACAAGGTGTCTGCAGATGAGAGTCCGAAACAATCACTTGTGGGACAACGTTGTCCTGCACAACTTCACAGTCGATAAGTGGAAAGAGAATTTAAAATTTTGACACGGCAGTCATTTATTGTATTCTTTAATATAATATAACAACAACAGCTCATTCCATGCATCATACGATATGAAACAGTGTCACAAAGTTTTTCAACAACACTGTATAGCTTCTTTCTGTGTTAGAATTATTCAAATTTTCACAGAAGTACTGGGATAAATGTTTAGTTTGGGTATAAACACTGATATCTACAGTAACGATCAAAATAGAGCAAATCATCTTTTGAAACGAAGTTGACACTTCAAATTAAGATTGTGTAACTTACATTCTTAAAGTAGTAGGTAGCGACAAATGACTGTTAAACAAATGTATTTGTCATTGAATCATTAATTTGAGATTCATTAAAAAAATGCTGATTCAACCAGTAATGAAACAAGTTAAGCATATATATGTCATTTTTTCATTTATTCAGACCATTTTTTTTAAAATTAATTCAAGAATAAACATGTTAAATAGACTGCAGCCAGGGCTGGACTGGGACAAAAAATCAGCCCAGACATTTTTTGGTCTAGTCAGCCCACCACCTCTTATATATATATTTAAAAAAACATTTTGAGCAACATGACAATAGCAACTGATAATGTAGGAAACCATAGACAAATGTACACAGGGGCGGACTGGGGCTAAAAAGTGGCCCTGGACTTTCTGGCACAGAGCAGCCCACCACACCCGGTTCGCAACCCACCATACCAAAAACCCACCAGCTAACATATAACACAATTTAGAAATAAAAATGCTATCTATTTTTTTATTTTTATTATTGAAATTATTATTTCAAATAAATACTGTTCTTTAATTTTGCATTCATCAAATAAATATGAAAAAGCTGAAGTATCACAGTTTCCACAAAAATATTAAGTGAAAACAGTTTTCAGTAGGCCTATTGATAATAATGAAAACTATTAGTAATAGATTAACTGATCACAAATAATTACTGATAATAATTAGGCAGCAAAACAGCATATTAGAATGATTTCTGAAGGGACATGTGACACTGAAGATTAGCTAGGCTACATTTCTGTGTTGCAAAAATTAAATAATAACGAAAGTATTGGGATAAAAGCTTAGTCCGGATATAAACTCTGATGTTGCGGCAGCCGTGATCAAATTGAGTAAATGACGTTTGGAACTATGTTATGCTTCAAATATAGATTTTGTTACATTATGCCAGTAGGTGGCGACCAGTGACTTCATAATGAATTAATTTAAAGTAGCCTAATACATATTTTTAAATAGCCTCATTTATAACATTAAATAAAATATTTTGTAAGAAACTTTTGTCAGTAAATTAGCCTACATATTATTTTGTTTGGCTGTCTAATGTTTTGTTTTCAGAATCGGAAGAACCGTGATCTGATGACACAATTTATTTTTTCTCCCTTCTATAAAGCTTGACTCTGCGAAACACACAAGTATTCCAATGTACATGTACTGCACTGTACCTGTGCAAATGGCAATAAATTCAAATTCAATTCAATTCAATCTATATTCTAAAAATCAATTATCCAGAATCATAGCTTAAAAATACATAGTCTAATATATCTGGCATCTAACTAATGCTATTAGTAGGCCTACTGTTTCTAATATTAACAGAATATATTTTATCTGGAGCGTTTATGCTGGTATGTTGTGGAGCTTAGGAGATATTACTGAACCATTTCATGTAAATTTCTTCAATGTACTGAAAACAAATCTAGATTACTTTTATGCGGGCTTTTGCGGGCGGGAGCGGGACAAAACATGAATGTCGCGGGCGGGAGCGGGACCAGATAAGATATATTTCTGCGGGAGCGGGTGGGCGCGGGACAGAATCTTGCGGGAGCGGGACTGAAAAATCCGTCCCACGCAGGTCTCTACATGAATGTACATAATCAGTTGCATGAATGTACCAAAGCAAACTTGTTCAAAAGAATGAGAAACTGCTATTATAATATGCACAAGTGACTATGATGTGGAGGTTGAACAAGTAGTTTTGAGAATTTAATTTCTGATCTGAGAAATGCACCAAAGCGACATGAGTAAAAACTGTATAACATGACCTTTGGCCTATTTATAGGCCTATTCTAAAGCCATGATTGGTTGGTGTTAAGTAAAGCATTGAGTGTTTACGATTGTGAGGAGTTAGTGTAGTGTAGGTTTTTGCAAATGTTTCCTAGTTGGGCCCCACCTAATGTCCAATTAAATCTCAAATAAAACCCACATGGGCAATTGGCATGGGACCAACATGGAACCCGTGGACAAACCCACTTACAACCCATATTTAGATGGAACCCAGATGAGTTTTGCATATGTTTCCCTAGTTGGGCCCCAACAAAAACCCAGTGAATTCCTGCATAAAATTCACATGGGTATGTTGCATGGGGCCAACATGGAGCCCGTGGACAAACCCACTTAAAACCCAAATTTCAGCCCATGTAGTAACCTTGTAGTACCCACATAAAACCTAAAGCTGGGGCCAAGATGGGTCTTGCACGTGTTGCCCAGTTGGGGCCCACATGTTGGCAATTGTAATCCCACATGAAATCCAGGTGTACAATTGACATTGGGCCATTATGGAACCCACGGACAATCCCACTTTGGGCCCACTTTTTCAGCCCATGTCAAACCCACATGGGCCCCACATACAAATGTTGACTGGGAGCCTGGCTCTTCTTTGCTTATCATTGATGAAGGGCTTTTTTTCTAGCTTTGCAGATCTTCAGCCGTCCCTGGGAGCCTGTTTCATGCATTTCACCCCAGCTGTTGTTTGCCATTCTTTTTGTAGGTCACTTGATGTTATTCTACGGTTGTTGAGTGACATTTGAATGAGTTAGCGATCATCCCCACAGCGGAGAGTCGTTTTCGCTCTCTGCCTGTCTGTAGCTTTTTTGTCTCCAATGTCTGCAGCTTGACCTGGTTCTTATGAACCACTGTACATTTTAAGGATGGAAGCAACCTGATGCTCATTGTATCCCTCTGCCAGTAAAGCCAGAATGGAACCCTTATTTTCCTCACTCAAAACTTTTATTTTTCAACTATTTTGGCATGGTCAATTGTTATTGAAAATGGAAGAAGGATGGCAGCGCGTTCACACGCTGCGGCTTCTCTCTCTCCCGACAGAAAGGTGTTTTTGTGTTTTTTGTCTTGTGAGTCGCATTGTTTTTGTACGTATTCGTCGCGTCTATCTGTCTCTAAGCGCGCATACAGTCGTGAGTTTCTGCTCGATGACGGCAGAACCACATTTTTAGAGTTAAACTCTGCGCACGCCGAAGAGCTGCGGGATCTCGGTCTGCTCCGGAGGCCCACACCATCACCGACCCACACTACTGCATCTCGCCCACAGCGGAGGCGCCACAAGCGGTGTGAGAGGAAGCAGAAGAGGGGTAAGAGGGCAGAAGACTGTTGTGTTTTTGTGTTCACGGAAACATGGCTCAACAACAGCTTTCCGGACTGCGCTATTCATCTCGATCAGCTGACATGCTCTGAACTCTGACCCTCTGATGGACTCTCCCACTCCCCCCTCCCAAATACACACACACACTGTCACTTTAATCAGTCTGAATAAGCTCTTTTGCACTACAATCATTATATCTGCACTGTTGTTTACTTCACTGGCTTGCACTCTATCTGCCATGCGCCTTGTGCTGCTTTATATATTTTTTTACATTTTACCTTATTTGTATAATTGTATAGTTGTATTTTATATTTAAATCTGTATCTATATGTATTTATGTTCTACTGTTAGTGTTATCTGTATGCACCAAGGGTCTGAGAGTAACGCAATTTCAATTCGCTGTGTGTATGTGCTGTACATGTGGAAGAATTGACAATAAAGCAGACTTGACTTGACTTATTATTTGATTACAATTAATTTTGAGGTACTAATAGCACTGTTTTTGCCATCCAGTTGGTCCTATTGCAAGAGGATAGTGATAACCACAGCAATGGTTAAGATTTGGTTGAGATGATCACCTAATCAGTACTTCATTAAGCAGAATGAGTTGTGCCTGTGTTGGAATTCAACAGACACTGGAATGGAATGGCTGCCATATATGAA